ATATATATATAGAGTGATATATATTGATATATCGTACAGTGTATAATCTTGACTTACCCATAAAATAAACTTCCGTTTTATGAACGACATCTACACTGTCCATAGCATGCTGCTCAGTTTCGACCTGAGAATAGAAATAAAAAAAATAAGGTAATAAAATGTAAAATATAAAGTTTTAATAATAAAGAAATTTATTACTAAAAATATTAGATATTTCATATTGAGAAAAATAAAAATAAAAATACAAGTTTTTAAGTACTTATATTATAATAAATACTTAGATAATGTTTGCCATATCTACCTCGGAAATTTCTGTAACTTCCCAAGCACGCGGTTTGAAATCGTCCGGAGCAAAATGTGTGATGATTTCTTCCACCGTTGCGTGCTGAAGTTCGACCATCCTCATAAAAGCACGAAAACCAACTGTTGCTGCAACAAAACTCTCATCGGTTGTTGTCTCTTCGGTAAGTACTTGAGTAATTAAAGGACCATGGCCTTTTCTTTCTACCAATTGAACTAAAGCGTTTTGAGCATCAGGTGTTTTTAGAGCAGGAAAGATTTCAGTCCTATAAAGACATTGATTGATTTCGTTTACAGAAACACCTTGTCGAACCAAATAGCCTATTATCGCGAGTTCTCGCAAGGGAAATTCACCCGGACCAAATTCTTTTGCATCAAGCATTTCCATTATCTCATCGACTTCCCGAGCTATATTTTCTTTTTGTTGCTGTACAATCTCTTTTACAGTAATATCTTCTTCTATCTTTTCTGCTTTTATTTTCTTCGCTTTTTTCTGTTTCACTTCTGTATGTTTCGTTTCTAACACACTACTTTCTACATGTGCTTCTGTGACTGAAACTTTTTGCAGAGTTTCCGAAGTAATTTGAGCGCTATCGAGTTTTGTTTCGATGGTGAAATCAGGAGCAGTATCTTCACTTGTAATTTCTGATACGATAATACTTTCTTGCTCTTCGACAATTCGTTTGGCACGTTTTTCGACTTTAGGTAAATGCTCTCGCGATTTTTGGTCATCAATTTTCTTCAAGGAAGTTGTTGCTTCAGTTATGATTGGCTCTTGAATTGGTATTATTCTTCGTGCTCTAGATATCTAAAATATGCAAAATAAAATATTACTTGTGTGAAATTTCTTGAAAGATACAGTACAATCAAGGCGTTTTAAAGATTGCATATCTTAATTCAATACCTCTTCAGATTTATCTTCTATGAACTCTGTAGTTTCCAGAAATTGAGTCTCTTCAATATCAACAATTTTTCTGAAAATATAAATGGCAAATATTATACATACATACAGACCACACACACGCACACGCACACGCACATGCACGCACACGCACGCACACACGCACGCACGCACGCACGCACGCACGCACGCACGCACATATTGTTGCGTCCGTGTCTTGCTGTGCCAATATATGGGTTGAGCGTTAGTTCGGTAAGAGTGCGACTGATTAGGATAAGATCGATAAGACGAACGGAAAAAGAGCGGTCCCAAGCAACAGTTGCTGTTGTAATATGACAGATTGAAGTTAGGAAGATTATTTTGATGAGAAATTATATCCATCTGAATGTATTTAAAATTGTGTAGCACGTCAGATTTCTTTTTTTCTCGCGTGGAGAAGTGATTAAAAAATTGCGAATGAGAGAAGCTTCGAATGTAATGGCGGACGCAAAAATATACGTACAATTATTAAATGAAACAAATTATAGACACGGCACACCACACATACATACACACACACACACACACACACACACACACACACACACACACACACACAC